GAAAAGGAGCGATTTCTTTTGAGGAAATCCGGACAAGAACGAAATGCAGATGATTTGTATAAGAAACGGGATCTCATCAAAAAACACATAACGAATGCAGAACAGATCGTCTTCGATGAAGATAATGGTATAGTCTAATCTTTGTAAGTTTATATCTGAAACGCGGCAACCGAAGACATTGTTAGTTACTCCTCAGTAAAGCGTCTAGTGGACCAATCCAAAAAGACAAGGAAACAAGGAGAAACTACTAAAAATGAGTCAATTAAAATCTTATGAGTTGTCAGTTAGCGCGATGGTCTGTGTTACGAACAGTAAGCTAGAATTATTGACTCGAGGATATCTACCAAGAAGATTATCCAATTTAAAGTCACCTTAAATTATCTGCAAATGTGGATCGCAGTCTTGGGCGTTTTTATTTGCAGCATGCATTACATATCTGCGCTTGACAGGCCTTGTTCTGAAATGAAAATATTTTCACCTTCCTGCAAAAATCCCGATGATGGTTAGCTCAGCTACCGTAACCCTACAATTTTGATAAAACTTTCAAATTTGATTATTCTGAAAACCGCTCAGGAGTGATCTTTGAACTGAAAGTGAACTCTAAACTTTTTAGAATAAACAGAAACTTGCATTCTAGCATACTATCAGTAAGATTAGTTTTACAGATATCTCAAGTGTGCGCAGCTTCATCGAAGAACGTTACCGTCTTCACTTTGGCTTGGGCCCAGATGGTCATCCTAGAGAACTTTCTGCGGAAGAGAAAGATGAAGTTGATTTTCTGATCGAACATTCGACTTTCATCACCAAGGTCATTTTGCGTATGCATGATCTGGAACCGGAAGATTATAGTGAGTTTATACTTGCTTTTCCATTTCTGATTATATTTCGTTTATCTTATAGAAGGAAAAATTGACAATTTCCATATGCAAGCAAAGCTGGCAGTTTTTCAAGAAGAGAAGGCTATCAGGGACAAAGAGCTACAGGACATGAATAGCGAAAGGCAGAGGATATTCTTTCAGCATAAGTAGGTCTCGCAAAGAATTTTCAGCTTCTCAGTGGATTTCTAAGATAAATCGCAATTGCTTATGATTAAGGTTGTTCAAAATTACGAATTTGAATTCTGCAATTTTTATTGATATAATTCTGATTTAATGTTTGTATCCCTGTTATTGATTTATTGATTTCTTGACAGAGAGAGGTCGGAGCAGCTATCTCGAGCACGTGCTGGTGAAGAAAGCTCAGATGATGATATTGATGACGATATGGAAGAGGGCGAGGACGATTTGGCCCGTCATCAAACTGAAATCGAAAACGAGCTGATAA